GAGATAGACAGATCAATAGCCAGACAGACAGATGAAACATCAATGAAAGAACATGGAAGTACAGTAAATATGTGTAGTTTCTGTAATCTGAATTTCCATCCAATTATAGCAATGATGGTTTCAAAGAAATGACTTTGAAAGAAAAGTGGAATTATCAGTTCTGCCTGTGAGTATCTAGTTTACTTGCTTTTTGAGTTCCTCAATAAATAAATAAATAAACACTCTGAAAATCCATTTATTAATGACACAGATCTTGTAGACTCACTGCATCAGTAAACATAACACTGTTTTCTGGTGGACTGATACAAACCAGTGCACATTGATTTAAAAAGACCGAAACGAAGAGTGTGATGTCTGAGACTGAGACTCTTAACAGATCCGGGGCCAGTGACGGCGCTCTGCTGTACATTGATTCAATACGACCATAAATAACTCCCTCACAGCGGGACATAAACACACCACCTGCTCTTAGACCAAACACACTGACATCTCAAATCTCCAACGACAGTCCAAACCAGTGTATTTCAGAAGAGAAATAAAATATTAAACTTGGGAATGTCACTCATTAGATCAAGTGTCTGTATCTGCAGTGATTTTGATGCGTTTTGGTGCAAGGAGTGAGGGAACTCTTATTGCAAAAGAGCACACAAAAAACGTTGTTTTTTACATTTTTTTATATATATATACACGTTTTTATGTTTACAAAAGGGCTAGTCTCTGTTGATCACCAAGGCTGCATTTATTTGAGCAAAAATACAGTAAAAACAGTGACATATTATTAGAATTTAAAATAACTGTTTTCAATATGAATATATGTTAAAAGGTCATTTATTCCTGTGATCAAAGCTGAATTTCCAGCTTCATTACTCCAGCCTTCAGTGTCACATGATCATTTAGAAATCATTCTAAAATGCTGATTTGCTGCTCAAGAAACATTTCTGATTATTATTAATGTTGGAAACATTACAATATAACGCATTCTTGCTGAATAAAAGTTTTTGACTTTAAAATATATGAAACCAGTTTTTACTTTTTACATTCATACAGCACTTTATGCAGCTTTACAGTAAAATTAATCGCAAAAAGTTTTAGTTTTAGTTAAGTTTTAGTACAACAAGGCTTTCCAGAGGATCTAATACAGTTTCAGTGAAATGAAGTGCTTTTAAATTGGTCTTTGCAGCTGTAATTGAAACTACTGTTGTAGTCTTTGTTAGCGATCAGTAATGAGTCAGCAGTGGTGTGAGGAGAATCAAAGGGCAGCTCTGCGGTTCAGCGCTCATGCAGAGGAAGTCAACAACATCAAGAGAAACCTTATCATCATGGATAGTGTCGACCCGCATACAGAAGTTCTCTTTTGCGTTTTGTTTTCGTTGGCCAATACGGACACAAGAGACACAGAGAATCGCACAGACTGAGCTGAACTGTAATCAAACATCACCCAGTTGAAATATAACACACTTGTACAGTTCACACAGCCATTTAAAAACTAAACACATGTCTGGCGGTGTAAATAGAGCAGGTACCAGACTCAAGACACCGCAGAAACATTCAGCCGCGTTATATTTCAGCTGACGACACACATGAACATTGTGACTCAATAAGGAAGTTCTGCCATGAGCAGCTCACTTACAAAACACAGGAAAAGTCACTTCAGTACGTTCAACACACACATAAAACACGTAGGGAAGAAAAAACGCTCTTTAATCTCTTTAAAATCTCACTAGTTCCTTCAGTTCAGTGGAGTTTTGCTTAAGTCTCCTGCTTCTCGAATGTTTCTTCTTTCAAAAAGACACAATTAATCTCACATTTATCTCAGAAAAGATCTCAATATCTAAAATTAGCCAAGATCTCAAAGTCTGCCATCAAAAGTCAGAGATCTCAATGTGTACGCATAAACATATTAACATTTCTCATCAGATGGATCTGATCTGCTCTCCCTGTTAATTGTCTAGCTCTAGTCACATTTGTAAATAAAACAAAGATTACTGTGGGTATGTTTTACAAAACACTATTTCAGTTTCTCATGTTTAATTTAACATGTTATTTGCTGTTTCTTTATAATTACGTGTGAAACTTACTAGCAATCTTTTAGTATAAATTGAAAATCTTACACCAAATTGTTGTCAGTATCTATTCTTATATATATAACTAGTGACTCATTTGGGTCGTTATTTCTCACATGAATCCTATGTATTGAAATACTCATTCCTGATCTATTGCTAATGATCCATCAGATCATGTTTCTAATGCAAAAAAAAAAAAAAGTATCTTCATACTTTGAAATTTCTCCTCCTCTGCAACAACTTTCCTTTCCTCTCATGTCATCAATCCATCTTATTCATCAGCCACCTTGACACAGAAACACGTTCAGCATCCGATCATTTATTCAGAAAAAGAAAATGAAGTCCTGGCCTAATTTTATCGTTATATCCTGTTTCACCCAGAAACACGTCATATTACGGAAGTCGAATGTCTTGTGAACACCACTAAGCTCTGAGCAGCATTAGTTTTTACTACAAACACGGTTCAGAAACATCATAAACGCAAAATCACAACAGCTATGAACCACAATCATAATGATCTTCAGCTCACAAAGGTTTAGTTCAGGCCTTAAAGGCTTAATTAAGCCAAAAATGTCAATTCTGTCATCATTAATCCATCCTCCTGTTGTTTCAAACCTTTTAGACTTAAAGGGGTCATATGATGCTGCTAAAAAGAACATTATTTTGTGTATTTGGTGTAATGAATTGTGTTTATGCGGTTTAAAGTTCAAAAAACACATTATTTTCCACATACTGTACATTATTGTTTCTCCTCTATGCCCCGCCTTTCTGAAACGCGTCGATTTTTACAAAGCTCATCGGTCTGAAAAGCGACGTGTGCTGTGATTGGCCAGCTATCCAGTGCACTGTGATGGAAATGTTGCACCCCTCACCATACTGTGATGATGCCCTGTCAGGCCGGAGCGATGATTCAAAAACATGAAAACCCATTATAAACGTGGCATTCGTTGCATCCATTGGGGACATAATTACGGATTATAATGACTCATACTGTCTTTTTACGCATTGCGTTGCATCGCGTCGGGTAAACATAAAACCATGTCTGCATTTGTGATCGATTTTTACAAAGCTCATCGGTCTGAAAAGCGACGTGTGCTGTGATTGGCCAGCTATCCAGTGCACTGTGATGGAAATGTTGCACCCCTCACCATACTGTGATGATGCCCTGTCAGGCCGGAGCGATGATTCAAAAACATGAAAACCCATTATAAACGTGGCATTCGTTGCATCCATTGGGGACATAATTACGGATTATAATGACTCATACTGTCTTTTTACGCATTGCGTTGCATCGCGTCGGGTAAACATAAAACCATGTCTGCATTTGTGATCGGAGAAATTGCAAACAAGCGCTTCTCTACACTGCCCAAAACTCGCATTTGAATCATCAGTGGCAAATTCTTTAAATGAAAACGTACTTAAGGTCTGTGAGTCAGAACAGCCGGCATTGTAGTCTACTCTACCAGGATCAGGAAACAGTTCAGTTGTGCTGCCCACAAATGAATATTTGGGTTGAACTGTTCTGGAACAGTGTTGTAAATACAACTTAACCACATATTTTTAGTTGTGTCCTCTTTTGGAAGACCAAACAAAGTAGTTTCGCTTTCACAACGAAACACATGGTGGGCTTGAGTGAGCGGAGGCCGGAGGCCTAGAGTGAGCGGAGGCGGGCGGGCTTGAGAATGGCACGGCCGGCGGATTCGACGAAGGAGCGGCCGGCGTGCTTGTGGCAACCACATGTGACAACCCCGGGCTGGACTCCGCTTCGTCCACAGTGAAAGCCGATCCGGCAATCCACAGCTCGAAGTTGATGTATTTCCTCAGCGACCAGCACGGATCAGCTCCAGTAATGACGAAGCAGATATCGTCCTCTTTTGGAAGGCCAAACAAAGTAGTTTCGCTTTCACAACGAAACACAGAGCCTTTACGACATGGCGGCGGCGGCAACAACAATACTACAGCGAGAATAAAAGTTACGCCTTCTTTCTTTGCGTGAACATTTGGGCGGCGTTATGCAAATCTTCCCACATAGTGACGTAGATATGTGGGGGCGTGTTAGAACGAGCCATTTTAGGTAGGCGTGGTTGACTCTTAATGTTATAAAGAATATCTCTTTGGATTTTAGACTTTAGTCTTTGCAACTTTACAGATCTTCTTTATGCACCAATAGCTTGTAACACTCCAAAGAGAAAGGAAAAATTGATATTGCATCATATGACCCCTTTAAGTATAGAAGATATTCAAATAAATGCGTGTTTTTTTATTGAAAGTCAATGGAGCCCAATAACTTTAACTTAAAAAATGTATACATTTTTTATGTTAATTGTTAAATAAAATAAATGAAACCTATTTTAAGTTAGTTGGCTAAGGCAATAATTTTCATTTATTTCTAAGACTGAAATAAATTTCAATAAAAACAGTGATACCTTACAATTAGGTCCCATTAGTTAGCATTGGTTAATGCATTAACAATGAGCAATATATTTCTTAAAATATTTGTTAAACTTTGGTAACTTCAGTTGATTAAAATACAACTATTAGTACATATTAGCTCAGGTCCGTTAAATAATATAAACAGATACAACTTTTGATTTTAGTAAATGTTGAAATCTACTACGATTTCACATCACCTGACAGCAAAAGATTAATAATTGCTTTAAAAGTATTTTTCAATGTTAGTTAACTAATGTTAACAAATGGAAGTCTTACCATAAAAAAAAACAGAAATATTTAAAATAATAATAAAGAATAAGTAACAACAACACAACAACGTTGCAAAAACTTAAAAATATAACTATTAATACTACTACAATAGCATAATAAAATATACTAAAGTAACTCCAATGCTCTTTAAAATATCTTCTTTTATGTTCCACAGAAAAACTAAATTCATACAGGTTTGGAACAACTTGAGTCGAGCAGGTTTTGAGCTCCTACCACATGTTCGGCCTCCGTTGGGCTGGAGGGAAACTCCTCCAGCAAACAATCTCCCGCATCTCCTTCACTGTCCATCACCCCCTCTCCTCTCCCGTTCTCCTCAGATCAAACACGGTTCTGTCTGTTATTAGAGCCACTGACACCATATACTGCGATGGCTTCCGCTCACAGAGAACGACAGCAACAGCTTCCTGTTAATCTCTACATGACACACAAGAGACAATTGCTGTTTGCACAGGAACACACAGACACACGGGCACGTGGATGGTTCGCTTTTGAAATCTCTCGACCAACTTCCTGCTCAGAGACGAGCTCTGCAGCTTGGCACCATTACATGTCTGTGTGTTTTAATACACAGTATGACATTTGCAAACTCTTGTGACTGTTCTGAACCAAAGAGGAAATGAAACCATTCGAACAAAAACACTCACAAGTGCATAATGCAAACACACTGCCTTAAATTCATTGCAACTGAAATACCATTTCTAGAATAAAGAACATAATGAATAATGATGAATAATAAGGTGTAGATGAGTTTATTTCTTCATCAGATTTGTAGAAATGTAGCATTATATCACTTGCTCAGCAATGAGATCCTCTGCAGTGAATGGGTGCCGTCAGAATGAGAGTCCAGACGGCTGATAAAAACATCACAATAATCCACAAGTAATCTACACCACCCCAGTACATTAATTAATGTCTTGTGAAGTGAAAAACTTCGTAAGAAACAAATCCATCATTAAGATGCTTTTAACTTTGTTACAAATATGAGTCAAAATACAAGTATCCATAAAATTGCTTCCACCAGTGAAAAAGTCAATCTCCTTAGGAGATAAATACACAGATTAAGGACTGTTTAAGCAAAAACAGCTCTAAACAAATATGTTGTGGATTTTAATGTGAGAGGAAAACAGGGAATGGAGTTTTTCACTGAAGGAAGTGTTAGTATGGATAATGGACTCATATTTTTAAGCAACGGTTTGAAGTTAAAAATGCCTTAATGATGGATTTGTTTCTTACAAACATGCAGCTTTTGGCTTCACAAGACATTAATTAATGTACTGGGGTGGTGTGGATTACTTGTGGACTATTGTGATGTTTTTATCAGCTGTTTAGACACTCATTCTGACGGCACCCATTCACTGCAGAGGATCCATTGCTGAGCAAGTGATGCTACATTTCTCCAAATCTAATGAAGAAACAAACTCATCTACATCTAGAATAGTCTGAGGGCGAGTAAATTTTCAGCAAATATTCGTTTTTGGGAGAAATGTTCCTTTAATGTGTGTGGTTATCCATATAAAGGCACAGGACTTAAGGTCTCTACTGTCTTCATATGGTTCTTTCTGCAACATCTAGTGACGCAAAACAGAGAAGTGAGTTATTATTGTATCAAGCTACTCTAAAGAAAGAGATCTATGTTCTGAATATAAACATTATCTATCATTATGATCATGCATCTTTCATCTCAGGTCCAAATTTGACCAGGTTAAACTGAGGCACTACATTCCAAAATGACACTGGAAACCTTCCCGTGATGCTTCACAGGGTCTGTAAGGCTCCACCCATGAGGCCCCACCCACAAATCAGACTGACAGCGTAACACTCAGGTATTCCAGCCGGGAACGTTTCCCAGAAGCCACCTGACTGCTGTATTTACAGACAGCATTACACAGGAACCGAACAACACGAGTTCATATATCTGAAAAACAGCCGGAGCGAAGCAAAGCCACTGAGGTACACGGACAAGTTTTTAAAAATAAATATTTGTATGTAGAATTTAACACTTTCACAAATTTACTGTATTTTTAATGGTTTCTGCAACTGTAAAACAAAAAAATTGGAGGTAAACAATAGAAAATGATTACAGAACTACAGTTAACCCAAAATTGAGCTTTGATATCTGAGTGGAAAGATTGGAGTAAAATAAAGCAATGACTTAGCAGCCACCAAGTGTTAGGAACCACACAAATCACCCTAGCAACTACCTACCAATGTCTTAAAAACTATCTTTAACAAATAATAAAATAGCATTTAGGGGACAAAAATATCAGGAAAAATTGTTAAACCATAGACCTAGAAACTGCCTAGCTACCACCAAGAACACCCTAGTGACTGCCTAGCAACCACATTTTAATGCCCTAGCAACCTCCTAGAACACCCTAGCAACCACAAGAAAGCCCTATCAACTTCTCAGAACATCCTGCCAACAACCTAGCAATGCCTCAGCACCACCTAAACACACACCCACAGCAACGCAAACAAATACACAATTCAATTAATTTCATGGGAACATAGACCTAGCAACTGCCTAGCAACCACCAAGAAGACCCTAGCAAATGCATAAGGCCTATCAACTGCCAAGCGACCAACAAGAACACCCTAGTGACTGCCTAAGCCCTAGCAACTGCCTAGCTACCAACAAGAACACCTTAGCAACCCCCAAGAACACCCTAGCAACTACCTAAGTCCTAGCAACTGCCTAACTACCACCAAGAACACCCTAGCGACTGCCTAAGCCAAAGCAACTGCCTAGCAACCCCCAAGAACACCCTAGCAACTGCCTAAGTCCTAGCAACTGCCTAACTACCACCAAGAACACCCTAGCGACTGCCTAAGCCAAAGCAACTGCCTAGCTACCACCAAGAACACCCTAGCAACTGCCTAAGCCATAGTAAAAGCCTAGTTACTGTCAAGAACATCCTAGTGACCACCAAGAACACCCTAACGACTGCCTAAGCCCTAGCAACTGCCTAACAACCACCAAGAACACCCTAGTAACTGCCTAAGTCCTAGCAACTGCCTAACTACCACCAAGAACACCCTAGCGACTGCCTAAGCCAAAGCAACTGCCTAGCTACCACCAAGAACACCCTAGCAACTGCCTAAGGCATAGCGAAAGCCTAGCTACCTCCAAGAACACCCTAGTGACCACCAAGAACACCCTAGCAACTGCCTAAGCCCTAGCAACTGCCTAACAACCACAAAGAACACCACAGCAACTGCCTAGCAACCACAACAAAACCCTAGCAACTACTCAGAACATCCTATCAACCAACTAGCCATGCCTTAACACCACCTAAACACACCCATAGCAACAGCATATCAACGCAAACACAATGCTCCAGGTAATAAAATGAAACTCCAGAAACAAGCTCCAAATATCATGTTTGTTTTATTGTTTATTACAGCGTGTACCATGGGTTTTGTGCGAAGAAGATCAGATTTCAAGAGATCTGAATGATTGCTAGTCCACACGTCTCACTGAGTGAAAACTACACCTGAGTCTCTAAACATCTCACAACTGATCAATGAAAGACGCGTGTGGACGAGAGAAACTAAACACAGTCAGTGAGAGAGAGAGAGAGGAAGTCATTAGTGAGGGTTGAGTGGTCTGATCCATTTCTCTTAGTGATTTTGGCAGGAACAACGAGCAACTTAAATGTAATAAAAACTGAATTAGCAGAAAGACTCTCGCTTCTGAGAAAGACAAAAATCCTATGAACGGATCTCAGAAAACCAACCAAATCATGCTAAATATACCTCAACACTAATCAGTGCACTTCTAAAGCACTTCTTACACCAGCAGTGTGTATTGTCAGTCTTTTAAAAAAGTAAATATAAATTAAATTAAAATAAAATAAAATAGTGCAGCACTCAATCATTCATCATTTATCATTCAGGTGTTTACAATTCTTGTATAACTCTGTTTTTGTTTTACATATTATTGCTTTCTCTTTTTTTTTACAGTGTAACATACTGTACTATACTGTTATGCCATCTACTATTTGTATTATTGTTTATATATATATATATATATATATATATATATAAAACCCAGAAATGAGCTACAAATATCAGATCATGTGTTTAAGTTTAGCATGATTCTTCAGACCTTTTAATTAATGTCAATGTGAAACGCAAATGCATTTTACTTCCATATTTCAGAACAAAACCATATATTTACTGAAAAACAGACAAGACTTGATTTGAATCGATTCAATGGTGAAACATCTCTATATGAGCTGGTTGAAAAAAAAATTGATTAAAAAGATGAGCATGTATTTTTTTCTGATGAATCAATAACACTATCAATACAATTTTAATAAAGTCCATTTTGATTTCACCTTTGAACATTTAAGATCTAAACTCTGCTGGAAGCTTCAGTGAAGTCTCGTTCCGACACGGATCATCAGTGTTCAGAAAGCAATCAGACACAATCATGACTGTCTGTGAAATCACACGGACATTTCAGATGAAACTCTGCTGCACACAGATGTATTATTCAGAGTCACATTAAGACTTCAGGATGAATAATGTGTGTGCGGCCGCTGTCAGCATCTGCATTCACACATGCATGCGTCTGAAGGTTTCAGCTCTTTCTTCACGTTTTTGGCAGATTAATTATAATTATTAGTAACTCAACTGATGAGAGACTGTCTAAGTCTGTCTGTCTATGCAGGTCTAAGAATTATACAACAATTATAAAAATGTAGTTTAAAATCATTTTAGAGTATAGCCAGTGGTTGAATTGGATGGGGATGGTGGGGTGGGAGGTCCGGTGATTACAAATGATTACAAAATTAGTCTAATTTTTAAAAGATTTTATTTAACAAAAAATACGCTTTTTTGTTAAAGATATTATGGTTTATGAGCTGTTTTTCATGCCAAAAGTTAAAATTTGTATTTCTTTTTATGTATTTCTTTTTTGTGGGGACATTTGGTCCTCATAATATAGGTAGCATAAACCGATACACACACACACACACACACACACACACACACGCATGTACACAATCTACATGTGTCTGTGTACCAAATTAACTAAATCATTGGTCTCTAATTCAATTCCTGGAGGGCCACAGCTCTGCACAGTTTAGCTCCAACCCTAATCAAACAGACCTGATCCAGCTAATTAAGTTCTTCAGGATTACTAGAAACTTCCAAGCAGGGGCCCGTTCTTCGTACGTCGCTAACTCAGTTAGCTGGATTTGATTGTTGACGATTTGGCATGAGCTTGGATTGTTTGGTTCTTCGAAGCTCATCCCGGAGTTGCTGTCATAGCAACAGGTCCTTAAGCTTAAACCTGCTCGGGAGCAGGCTTATTTCATGTAAACAGGATTAGATAGCATCTTTTTAAGCAGAATTGATACCTAAAATATGTCCGCTACCACCGCAACTTTATTACAAGAGTATCCAACTAATCCAGCGA